GCTCAATAAAAATCACTTAAAATCAGGAGAAACTTTTATCTTTTATGTATATATATATTGTAGAGTCACCACAGGATATATATATATATATATATAGATATATATACATATAGGAAGTTTATAATTTATGATTTTCCGTATAAAACAGTGCTCGATGCCCGAGAGCAGAGCGTAAATATGTGTAGTGGTGTAGAGAAAAATCACAAAACTACAGATTCATCCCAACAAGCCTGTTTCGTGATTGCTCACTCTTCAGGGGATTTAATGAATAAAATACTTAAATGCTTAAAATATATATACAAGATGACGGAAGTTAGTGTATTAATCAAGGTGTATAGTTTCAAGTTAGATGACGGAAGATAGTGTATTAATCAAGGTGTATAGTTTCAAGTTAGATGACGGAAGTTAGAGTATTAATTAAGGTGTATGGTTACAAATTACATAGGAGTGTTTTGGATCTATGGCGACAAGAGGAAACAAGTTCGTTGCGTTTATTGAGGGATAATTTGGATGGTTGGTAGAGGATGAAGAATTTTTCTTTAAGGCAAAGGTCGCATCTTTTACTGGTGCTGTTGTATGGTTTGCTGTGTGTGATGATGTTCCATGAGATGTCGTGGTCGATATTGCTGTCTTTAAGGGTCCAAATGTGCTTACTGAGCTCGGTCGAGTTTCGTAGTTTTTTGTGGCGGAAAGAGGCAGTGTGATTTCTATGTCTAGTCTTAAATTCGTTTTCTGTAAGTCCAATGTACGTCTCAGTTGTGTTATTGTCTTTGCGTTTTACAATAGCTTGGTAAACAACGGATGACTGCAGGCAGTTTCCGTTAAGTGGGCAGTTTTGTTTTTGTCGGCAGTTGCATGTTTTGTAAGTGTCTTTTTGTTCGCGGTGTTGTCGTTAGTTTTGTCTGATGTTCTCAGTATATGTTTGTTATGGTTGTTGATTATTTGTTCGATATTGTTCATGCAGCTGTAGCTGAGTTTGATGGTGTTACGGTTGAATATTTTCCTGAGTTTATGGTCTATGGGGAAGTGTTTGTCGATTAATGAAAGGAATTTGTGGCCAATGTTCGTGTAGACGTTTTTGCTGAATGGAGGGTTGTACCAAAGTATATTTTGTCGAAGTCTGTTTTTCCGTTTGGTAGTAGCGTCTGAGTCGAATTTTAGTGTGTATCGGTATCCGTTTTCGTCGAGTGCTTTTTGGTATGGTGCAGTTATTTGGCCAAATGATGCTTTGTCGGATGATAGTGAAGATAGACGTTTGTTGATGGCGTCGGGTATGTTCTTCGTTATGGTTGGTGGATGGTTGCTTTCGCTGTGGACGTATTGCAGAGAAGTGTTGGGTTTTGTGTGAGGGCGATATGAAAAATTGTTAAGATTGAAGGTGATGTCAAGAAAGTCGATGATTTTTTTGTTTGGTTCGATAGTTATGCGTAGTCCATTGTTGTTGAATATCCGACATATTTCCTTTTTAATGTTCTCTGTTTCTCGTGGTGTGGTGTTTGAAATGGCAAGTCCGTCGTCTCGATAAAGTCCTATGTCTGTTGTGGTGTTTTGTAGTTGAGAAAGGAGGTAGCTTCCTACGAGTTCGCATGTCTCAGCTCCGTCGAAGCTACCCATTGTGACGTCGAATGTTGAGTTATATTTCTTTTGCCAGGGTTGTTGGTTGTGTATAAGGAATGAATTCTTAGTGTGTATAATGATGTTTTTTTCGGCATTTGTGATGTTGTCGTAGGTTGAGGCAAAATCCAGTGCTTTGTTTAGTAGGTCTTGATTAATGGATGGATAAAAGTCTACGATGTCGAAGGATATGAAGGTGACGTTTTTTTTGTGTTTGATAGATTTGAACCACTGGATCACAGATGATGAGTTTTTCCATTGGTTGTATGAGGTTGTTTTTATGATGTTGTTGTTAATTCTGTCGAGTATTTTCTTGCTAATTTTACCAACTTCAGATTTTGTTGGGTTGATAAGTCGGCAGGCTGGTTTGTACGTAAAGTTTGGTTTATGGTCTTTGAGTGTTATGAATGCATTTTTATGGGCAGTGGCTTCTACTCTGTCAGATATACCCAGTCGTGATGTGATATTTTTGTTTTGTCGGCAGCGATTAGTAGCTTCGTTTCGTGTTTCATGGTAGTGGTGTGGTCTTTCATTTTGTTAAGGAATGTGCTGTTCACGTCTTTAAACTTTATCGATTGTATCATTTTCGTCATGTCTTTCTCGAAATCTTTTAGGTCGTCGATCGGTGGAGGGTTTTTACTACTCTTGAAGCAGGGGCGGATCTAGGATTTTTCAAACATCAGTCATAAAACGTCGAAGGCGCTCCGCACCTGGGGGGGTCTGAGGCATTCTCCCCTGAGAAATTTTGAATTTCAGAGTCTTGAAAATGCCATTTTCAGCATTTTAGAGCAATACAAAATGTATTTTGTGGGCATCGTTTTTGCGTAAAAACAACACATTTTTCTTACGTTTTTTTTCAAAAAAAAAATAAAGTGAACAATACTTGAATGTTTTGCCAAATATTTAGGCTCATTATCATGCCAAATATATGGCTCATTAGCATGTCTAGGAACGTAAGATTTATTTTACAATAACGCTATTCAAAAACAGATATATTCTTTAAAATTTCTACCAAGTTGTCAGGCATAGACCCCCCTAGAGACCCCCATTCAAACCTCTATGTAATAAGTTAAGTTAGAAATTTAGTACTACAAGTGACAGTTCATAGATATAGAAAAGCTCAGACTTCAAACCATGCAAGTTTATTGTAACTCTTTACCCATCTCCACATCAGTGCCAGCAAATTCACCCTTTGAGAAAAACTCAAAATTTTTTTCTGCCAAAGATTAAGCAAAAATTATCAGAGTGAAAATTTGCAGTTAAGGTTAGCTTAATGCCATAAATGTTTATTAGGCATTTCACTAGACTATTATCTTCTGCAAGGTGTGCTATATAGCAATCACTAGTAGCATTGTATTATCAAATACAAACAGAATGTAACCAACATGTCTTTAATTATATAATTACATGAATGTTAAAAATGGTTTATGTGTCATGCTTACTGGTTGTGATAAATATCTTTTCATATGATCAAAGCTTGTTTAAATGTAAATCTAAAATAATTTAGTTTAGAAATTATAATGATCATCAGAAAAATTACCTAGTGATCATGAAAAATACTTTGCTGTCTTGCCAAATTTCAAGGTTTATCTGCATACATAGGAAGACATTTTTACTTTATAGAAAATGCTTTTCATACATCAATAGCCCTTTGGAATTTATGGCAACAATCTGGTATGAGCCGTAGATTAACACACCTTTACATCTCTACATGAGGTGTTCAGTTAGAAAAGGGGACAATATGTGACATGGGACAACATTTCATGTATGTGAAATACTCAGGTTTAATACCATTCCAGTCAAATTGTCAAAATAAAAAAGCTTCATGGATCATAAGACTCAAAATCACAGGTTATAGTAAACAGCTTCTCATGTAATCAATGTTAGTTTTCTCAAATCTTAAACAATATGTAGTATAACTGTCCAATGATTGAATGATCAATGATCATAAACTGAAAAGCCACAAACATTTGTTTATGATAAAGTAAATAATAGTATGGCACCTTATGGCTACAGATTTTTTTGTCCATTGAAATATATTTGCAGAAATGTAGGATTTCGCTGCCATATAACGCCACGATTCCCCAAGCATTAAAGAAATCATAGCTAAAAGTCCTTCGGCAACAACAATTTTAGAAGCATCAATCTGCTTACCATACGCCATATTAACATAAATTGCATCACACACTCGCATAAATTGACTTTGATATATTGCATTCATGCATACACTTCACTTGTCTTTTACTTACGATTTTCGATGTAAATTTCTGCTGATAAAACTCAAAACAATGTTGGCTTTCTTTTGAACATCAATGACTGAAATGTCGCTCGCGAGATCGTCTTTGCCAAGCATTTACAATTCATCCATAAATTTTTCACCCTCTTGAAAAAATTCCCAGTTTGGAAAGCAGCATTCATGTCAATATATGAATTTGTAAAAGATTTCCATAAATTCCATCTGATTGTAGTTTAGTTTCTATCATGCTTCAGAAAATTACTATGAACGATCAAACATTTAATTCAGACATTGAGCTTGACTATGTTAGTTCAGTTGGCTATCAGTCGAAATCGGTCAAACCAATCACAGTAAGACAAAAATTCAAATGAACCAATTGTAAGATAGCAATTGGACTCCTTATAGGTCCGGCCACCCTATTATCGGTCGAGATTATTCCAGACTGTCCACTGATCTGGCCATTGACCAATAAAATAGCGTTTCTGGCGTTCATAGACTCCTTTATAAGTCGAACCAGTCAAGCCACCCCGCTTATCAGTCGGTTTTTCCAGGTCAATTAAAATTCAACTGATCTGGTTACCAAGGAGATATTCATCGCATTAGTCATTAGTTTTCAATAATAAATAAAGCTGGATTTTTATTACGAAGTAAATGCGATAATAAAGTAAGAATAATTAATGAATTTTTAATTAATATGAATAGGTAATTTTTGAATTTCAAACATCAGTCGCGCGACGGATTTGACATACTCTAGATCCGCCCCTGTCTTGAAGCCATAGGTATCTTTATAATCGGTGGTAGTATTCGGGTTAAGGAAGAAGTAAGCTTTCCAGCGCATATTACGAAGGAAGGTCTCAGATTTTTCAATAAGTCGTTGTAAGTATTCATTCGGTGATGGTAGAGGAATGTTCTTGATGCTGTAGTTGAAGTTGAATTTCTCCATTGCGGATTATCGTAGAGTGCTCAACAAAAATTTATCTTGGAGCGTAATAGGAAGTTTATAATTTATGATTTTCCGTATAAAACAGTGCTCGATGCCCGAGAGCAGAGCGTGTAAAGCCTGTGACACACGACGTGGTCTCTGAGACTTTGTTTCGAGACCTGGTCTCCGACACAAAGTTTCGCAATGTGTCATCTAGGTTTCGGACACTTTTTGTTTCGGAGATTTTTTGAGATTAGGTCTCCGAAATAGAAACGTGTTCTAATTCCAGAGACAAGTCTCCGGGACAAAAAACTTTCGGCCAATTAAATATCACAATTAAAGTCACGTGGTATGAGACAGAAAAACAAGATGGCGGTCGAATGGACAAGGGATAAAGTTGAACGTTTGGCAGAGTTGTGGGAGGCTAAACCAGTATTGTATAATACAACGCTCCCTGACTATCATGATAGAGTGGCTAGGAGGAATGCAATTGCGGAGATAGCGAATGCTTTAGAAATGAGTGGTGAGTAAGCATTTTTTACTGAATTCAGATTGATAAGTATACCGAATCCCATTACGTTGTAATACTTATGAAGTAAAAATTTATGTGCATTTAAATGACGATAATAAAGAATAGGGCTGATTTCTATTGTTATAAACGATTTTCCAACTATTGCAGAATGACAATTTATTTCAACATGTTTCAGGCTTTCAGCAGTCAGCCACTGTTTTATTACATTCAGTTTTTCAGCCTGTTTGAAAGGGAAAATATGTCTCATGTATTTTCCGCTTTATAGCAATGGATGTTTCTTGCAAAATCAAAAACCTTAGAAGTCAGTTCTGCAAAGAAATTGCCAAAGGCACCAAACCCAAAAGTGGTTCTGCCACAGATGATGTCACACCAAAGTCCAAATGGCAATATTTGACACTGCTTTTGTTTTTAAAAGATCATGTGGAATGTAGATCATCTCGCTGCAATCTTGATAAAGTATGTTGTCTTGTTTGAGAACTTAGTTTGAGCTAATGCAACATGTATGTTTAGGGTTTACTTTGAAGTAATTTATTTTTCTCTTTTATATAGGAGAGATCAAGTAAAAATAGCAACACTAGCAACTCTACTTTTCTTGAAGAAGAGCAAGAACAAAAAGATGATAACAATGAACTAGATCAAAATGTTTCAACCACATCTTCCACAAAGCGCCCAATTAATGTCTCAGACAAGGAATCAAGAGCCACAAAAGCACTGAGTTCAAATCTAAGCAAAATCATATGTAATAAAGAAGAACTAAAATAACTGATTTAAAATTTCACCTTTTTCACATTTTTAGAATGAGTGTCCTAATAGAGAGAATCTTTTGAGTAAACGTATTGTTAGTTTTTGTAGCAATAAAGCCATTCAGGAAACAAGTGCTATATTACTAAACTAGATAAAAACAAAAGAGCTTTTTATCAGCTGTAATAAATTTTTTTAAGAAATTTGCAATAGTTAACATAATGATTTCAGATAACATCATGAAGTTTTGAAATATGTTTATTGTAAAAAACCTTGTATTCATTAAATGTGCATTATCAATCGAGCTTTTACACTGTTCCAATGCTTTATATTTAAATTTTTAAAAAAAGAAAAATTCATCTACTATGAATAGTTAATTTTACAAAAAAAACAAACAAAATAATCTACAATAACTGATTTAAAGTTTCACCTTTTTCACATTTTTAGAATGAGTGTCCTAATAGAGAGAATCTTTTAAGTATTTGTATTGTTAGTATTTATACCAATAAAGCAATTCAGGAAAAGGGTGTTATATTACTAAACTAGAAAAAAATGAAAGTGCTTTTCCTCAGCTGTAATAAAATTTTTTAAGAAATTTGCAATAGTGAACATCATGATTTCAGATAACATCATGAAGTTTTGAAATATGTTTATTTTAAAAAAAATTGTATTCATTAAATGTGCATTATTAATAGTGCTTTTACGCTGTTACAATGCTTTACATATAAATTTTTTCAAAAAGAAAAATTCGTCAACAACGAATAGTTCATATTACAAAAAAAAACAAACAAAATAATCTGAAATTACTCTATATTTATCTAATAATATAAGAGGACATCAAAACCCTAAAAGAGGTAATCAAAGTCAAAGTCTTTAGAAATAAAAAATTTGATTAATAAAATTTAACTGAAGCTTCTGTAAGGCTCTGTAGTGTAATGGTAAGCACTTTGGACTCTGAATCCAAGAATCTGAGTTCAAATCTAAGCAGAACCATATGTAATAAAGAAGAACTAAACTAACTGATTTAAAATTTCACCCTTTTCACATTTTTAGAATGAGTGTCCTAATAGAGAGAATCTTATGAGTAATTGTATTGTTAGTATTTGTAGCAAGAAAGCCATTCAGGAAACAAGTGTTATATTACTAAACTAGAAAAAAACGAAAGTGCTTTTCCTCAGCTGTAATAAAATTTTTTAAGAAATTTGCAATAGTCAACATCATGATTTCAGATAACATAATGAAGTTTTGAAGTATGTTTATTTAAAAAAAATTGTATTCATTAAATGGCATTATCAATTGTGCTTTTACGCTGTTACAATGCTTTATATATAAATTTTTAAAAGAAGAAAAATTTGTCAACAACGAATAGTTAATTTTTACAAAACAAACGAACAAAATAATCTAAAATTACTTTATATTTATCTAATAATATAAGATGACATGAAAACCCTAAAAAAGGTAATCAAAGTCTTTAGAAATAAAAAATTTGATTAATAAAATTCAACTGAAGCATCTGTAAGGCACTGTAGTGTAATGGTAAGCACTTTCGACTTTGAATCCAAGAATCTGAGTTCAAATCTAAGCAGAATCATATGTAATAAAGAAGAACTAAAATAACTGATTTAAAATTTCACCTTTTTCACATTTTTAGAATGAGTGTCCTAATAGAGAGAATCTTTTGAGTAAACGTATTGTTAGTTTTTGTAGCAATAAAGCCATTCAGGAAACAAGTGCTATATTACTAAACTAGATAAAAACAAAAGAGCTTTTTATCAGCTGTAATAAATTTTTTTAAGAAATTTGCAATAGTTAACATAATGATTTCAGATAACATCATGAAGTTTTGAAATATGTTTATTGTAAAAAAACTTGTATTCATTAAATGTGCATTATCAATCGAGCTTTTACACTGTTCCAATGCTTTATATTTAAATTTTTAAAAAAAGAAAAATTCATCTACTATGAATAGTTAATTTTTACAAAAAAAAACAAACAAAATAATCTACAATAACTGATTTAAAGTTTCACCTTTTTCACATTTTTAGAATGAGTGTCCTAATAGAGAGAATCTTTTAAGTATTTGTATTGTTAGTATTTATACCAATAAAGCAATTCAGGAAAAGGGTGTTATATTACTAAACTAGAAAAAAACGAAAGTGCTTTTCTTCAGCTGTAATAAAATTTTTTAAGAAATTTGCAATAGTGAACATCATGATTTCAGATAACATCATGAAGTTTTGAAATATGTTTATTTTAAAAAAAATTGTATTCATTAAATGTGCATTATTAATAGTGCTTTTACGCTGTTACAATGCTTTACATATAAATTTTTTAAAAAAGAAAAATTTGTCAACAATGAATAGTTAATTTAAAAAATAATAATCTGAAATTACTCTATATTTATCTAATAATATAAGAGGACATCAAAATCCTTAAAGAGGTAATCAAAGTCAAAGTCTTTAGACATAAAAAATCTGATTAATAAAATTTAGCTGAAGTTTGTGTAACGCTCTGTAGTGTAATGGTAAGCACTTTGGACTCTGAATCCAAGAATCTGAGTTCAAATCTCAGCAGAACCATATGTAATAAAGAAGAACTAAAATAACTGAATTAAAATTTCACCCTTTTCACATTTTTAGAATGAGTGTCCTAATAGAGAGAATCTTATGAGTAATTGTATTGTTAGTATTTATAGCAAGAAAGCCATTCAGGAAACAAGTGTTATATTACTAAACTAGAAAAAAACGAAAGTGCTTTTCCTCAGCTGTAATAAAATTTTTTAAGAAATTTGCAATAGTCAACATCATGATTTTAGATAAGATAATGAAGTTTTGAAATATGTTTATTTAAAAAAAATTGTATTCATTAAATGGCATTATCAATCGTGCTTTTACGCTGTTACAATGCTTTATATATAAATTTTTAAAAAGAAGAAAAATTTGTCAACAACGAATGGTTAATTTTTACAAAAAAAACGAACAAAATAATCTAAAATTACTTTATATTTATCTAATAATATAAGATGACTTAAAAACCCAAAAAAAGGTAATCAAAGTCAAAGTCTTTAGAAATAAAAAATTTGATTAATAAAATTTAACTGAAGCTTCTGTAAGGCTCTGTAGTGTAATGGTAAGCACTTTCGACTTTGAATCCAAGAATCTGAGTTCAAATCTAAGCAGAATCATGTAATAAAGAAGAACTAAAATAACTGATTTAAAATTTCACCTTTTTCACATTTTTAGAATGAGTGTCCTAATAGAGAGAATCTTTTGAGTAAACGTATTGTTAGTTTTTGTAGCAATAAAGCCATTCAGGAAACAAGTGCTATATTACTAAACTAGATAAAAACAAAAGAGCTTTTTATCAGCTGTAATAAATTTTTTTAAGAAATTTGCAATAGTTAACATAATGATTTCAGATAACATCATGAAGTTTTGAAATATGTTTATTGTAAAAAACCTTGTATTCATTAAATGTGCATTATCAATCGAGCTTTTACACTGTTCCAATGCTTTATATTTAAATTTTTAAAAAAAGAAAAATTCATCTACTATGAATAGTTAATTTTACAAAAAAACAAACAAAATAATCTACAATAACTGATTTAAAGTTTCACCTTTTCACATTTTTAGAATGAGTGTCCTAATAGAGAGAATCTTTTAAGTATTTGTATTGTTAGTATTTATACCAATAAAGCAATTCAGGAAAAGGGTGTTATATTACTAAACTAGAAAAAAACGAAAGTGCTTTTCTTCAGCTGTAATAAAATTTTTTAAGAAATTTGCAATAGTGAACATCATGATTTCAGATAACATCATGAAGTTTTGAAATATGTTTATTTTAAAAAATTGTATTCATTAAATGTGCATTATTAATAGTGCTTTTAGCTGTTACAATGCTTTACATATAAATTTTTAAAAAAAAAAAATTGTCAACAATGAATAGTTAATTTAAAAATAATAATAATCTGAAATTACTCTATATTTATCTAATAATATAAGAGGACATCAAAATCCTTAAAGAGGTAATCAAAGTCAAAGTCTTTAGACATAAAAAATCTGATTAATAAAATTTAGCTGAAGTTTGTGTAACGCTCTGTAGTGTAATGGTAAGCACTTTGGACTCTGAATCCAAGAATCTGAGTTCAAATCTCAGCAGAACCATATGTAATAAAGAAGAACTAAAATAACTGAATTAAAATTTCACCCTTTTCACATTTTTAGAATGAGTGTCCTAATAGAGAGAATCTTATGAGTAATTGTATTGTTAGTATTTATAGCAAGAAAGCCATTCAGGAAACAAGTGTTATATTACTAAACTAGAAAAAAACGAAAGTGCTTTTCTTCAGCTGTAATAAAATTTTTTAAGAAATTTGCAATAGTGAACATCATGATTTCAGATAACATCATGAAGTTTTGAAATATGTTTATTTTAAAAAAAATTGTATTCATTAAATGTGCATTATTAATAGTGCTTTTACGCTGTTACAATGCTTTACATATAAATTTTTTAAAAAAGAAAAATTTGTCAACAATGAATAGTTAATTTAAAAAATAATAATAATCTGAAATTACTCTATATTTATCTAATAATATAAGAGGACATCAAAATTCTTAAAGAGGTAATCAAAGTCAAAGTCTTTAGACATAAAAAATCTGATTAATAAAATTTAGCTGAAGTTTGTGTAACGCTCTGTAGTGTAATGGTAAGCACTTTGGACTCTGAATCCAAGAATCTGAGTTCAAATCTCAGCAGAACCATATGTAATAAAGAAGAACTAAAATAACTGAATTAAAATTTCACCCTTTTCACATTTTAGAATGAGTGTCCTAATAGAGAGAATCTTATGAGTAATTGTATTGTTAGTATTTATAGCAAGAAAGCCATTCAGGAAACAAGTGTTATATTACTAAACTAGAAAAAAACGAAAGTGCTTTTCCTCAGCTGTAATAAAATTTTTTAAGAAATTTGCAATAGTCAACATCATGATTTTAGATAAGATAATGAAGTTTTGAAATATG